AGGGGGTTGGCGAGGCGGCGGCGGGTCGGACTCCTTTGGGAGTCCGGCAACTCCACGGCGAGCGACGCGGGCAAGGCGGCGGCGCGGCTGGGCTTGGCCCGGCTCGGCTCGGGCCGGCCCACAACTTTTTTTTAAACAATTCTCGTGAGAGGAAAAATCCTAAATAAATAAAAAAATCTAAAAATTTCAGAAACAATTTTCGCCGTCCAAACCTAATATTTAGGAGAAGATGAAGATTTTTCTGGACTAATATGCAATTTTCAAAAATGCAATATTTTTCTAATTCAAATAAAATAGCAAATAAAATACCAATAAAAACATAATTTTATTTTAAAATTCTTTCTCCAATATTTCTCTTAGGTTGAAGAAGTCATATTATCTTATCTCATATATTTTCAATATTGGAAAGAAAAATAATAAAATCAAATTGATCCTTTCTTCAAATTTGAAATAAATCCAAATATGAATTTTGTGAAACCTTCAACATCAACCTCAACTGCTGCTGGAGAAGCAACTCCAACCTTCTGAACATGTGGCCCATTTGAAACAAGATTTTCCTCAGTTACAACATTTTCTTCAGCAGCAGCCTCAACTATTGCTGGGCCTACAACAGGAAGTGCATGTTGCAGATCCTCTTGAACAACCAAATGAGCCCCCACAACTCCCTGCTGCTGAATATCAGCCATGTTGGCATTGTCTTGCATAATATCATCCTCTTCCCCTTCTGCTTGATAAGCAATTAGAATGTTCTGCAAGCCATGCCCATAGGATTAATTTGTGCACCTTGATTGACTTCCTCACTGGCAGTGTGAGTGTTAGACCAGATACCATCTGACAATGAAACAGTAGTGGTGATGCTGCTATTTGGAGCACCATCCTCTTGTAAAACAGGCAGTTCCACTTGCTGCTGATGTGGTTGTGGTTGTGGAACATTTGCCTGAGGAAATGGCCAATGGCCTTGCTCTTCTTGCTCTTCCCAATCTTCCCAATCATCATTCTGTGCTGGCTCATTCTGAATTGGAACTGGATGAAAACCTGGGAAGTCATTGGCATGCTGTGGAATAGGGTGTGGGTCCACTCCAGGAGGTGGAATAGAGTCCCCATCAGCAGGGCCCCCTCCCAGCATTTCTTCCAACAAGACCTCAACTGAACTAGTCCAGGATTCCTCCTCAAAACACTCTCCTTCAGACCACCTGATGCTTTTTGGAATATCTATGAGCTCAGTTACTTTGGCCTTGACTAGGATCTTCCCTCTCAAAGCATCTTCCCTCTCCCAACTTATGATTCTACCCCACTTGGCAATGGCAGCTGCAATATCCTCAGTGTTGCAGTAATCAAAAGGAACTCCCACAAACAGTAACCAGTAGGTTCTATTGAAATGAAGTCGACGCCAATTCCTTCCTTCATTATGATTAGTGAAAGATATGAAAACATCCCCAAATGGGTGAGGGCTTTGCTTGATAAGACGATCTCTGTATCTAACATGCTGGAATTGAACATACGCCTCACCAAATGGACATGGCTGGATTTCTCTGAACCCCACCTCCTCAACACCTTGAAAAAACTCCTCAAGAACTTCTCTGACATTGGAAAAAAATACCTCATTTGGATGCGGCTGGATGGTGGCAATCGCCCAGTCCTTGTGCCTCCTTGGGCGATGCGGCAAGATGGCCCTTGAAACCCCAGTACGCCCAGCCACCTCAAAAATTTGAAACCCATGAGGAACGAAAGGAGCTGGGTCTATGGGGATGTTAGCCATGGCCGTCGCCTCCGACGACCGGACCACCAATGCCCTTTCCGCCGATGCTGAAGAAGATGGCGAGCCTGTCAAGACAGAAATAGTGGTGGAGGCAGAGTTGGTAAGAACATAGGAATGCGAGGAGGCAGGCTGCAGTCGCGGTTGGAAATTTGGAAAGAGGTCCTTGACCAGCTCCATAAATGACGAGACCTACCTAATCGGTTGAGCTGGGCCGGCACATTTGAACCAGGCCTCCACCTCACCTTCAGCCCAGACCTGCTCGGGTGGGCTCGAAAAAGAGCCAAACTGAATAAAAGGCCATAGCCCAGGCAACTTCGGCGCCATGCAGTTACGTGCAAAGTGCCCTTGACCCCCGCATGCAAAACACACCACGTACGTGCGAGGGGCATCACGTTGAGACATTTGGGGCTGGTTAAG